TAGGAGGAAGGTCCTCGGCGCCCCTGGGGTTTCTGCTGACATCACTGCCAGCTCAGGGTGAGGCAGGCCCTCTGGGCTCCTGCCCACTAGAGGGAAAGGGAAAGTGGACAGCCCTGCTGCCTTTCCTCCCCCTCCTGCCCTCGGTGGCCCCCAGGCCTGCACTCCGGGCAGCGAGCGCGTGGTGATGGAGAGGAGGCTGCCTCAGGGATGCGGATCCCAGGGAGCCTCCTCTGGCCCCGGCAGCCCAGGCAGGGCTTCTGAGCCTACCTAGCCCTGACTCTGCAGGGGGAAGAGTCGGGGTCCTTGGAAGCCCGGGGAAGCCCTACCCCCGGCTGTGGACCGGGGGCTACCTAAGAGCCAGTGCAGTCCTCAGTCCATGAGTCAAACCCACTTGGCTGCTCGTGGAGTCTAATTCTAGCTGAGGGCAATTCAAGCGCTTTCAGGGTGCTCTCACCGACCCAGGAGGGCCCAGGTCGGGTGCCTGGCCCGGCAGCGCACTGTCCGTTCGTGTCAGCAGTGGGTGGTGGGCGGAGGGCATGAGAGCCCAGGTCTCCGGCTCTCTTTCTGTCCAAGGATCCTCTCTGTCCTGTAAAGCCAGGCTGGCCCCAGCTTAGCTACCTCATAGCCAGGGGGCGCTGACAAGTCCTGTTGCCTCTGGAGCCTCTGGGCACCCAGCCTCTTCCCTTTTTCGGGGGGCATGTTAGCACCTGAGCGGTGTAGTTCGAAGGGCAGACAGTGCTGGGTTCCAGTACTTGTGTGACCTTAGGCAAGTGACTTCAGTGTCCTCACATATAAAATGGGTAAATCCCAGTTCCCACCTTACAGGGTTACTGTAAGAATGAAATGATATTGTCCCCCCAAAACCGGAGCCCAGGACCCAACACGTGGTGAGAGCTCAGAATGTTTAAACTATGGTCAGTATTTAAGTCTCAGAGTCCTAAAAGGAGTAAAAGTGTCACCAAGAAATGCCAGGCATTGCAGCAGGCACGGGCAGGCCCCTGCCTCTCTGGCCTGCACACGGGTCAGCCTCCATCCCTCAACCCCATGGCCCCATAGGGCTCCTCTCTGTGTACCCAGGGAATGTTTGGTGAACACATGCATGAATCAGTGAGGGGGTCCTTACTTACCTCTGTGGGCTTCTCCCACACCACACTCCTGCTCACCCATCAGGAGGGGGCTGGACCAGAGGCCTCCCTCGTTCAGGAATCCATGACACCCTCTGGGCCAGGACCCCTTCAATGCCAATCCTGCAGCTGTGCGGGACATGGTGTTTTGGGGGTGTCTGGAAGGCCTTCCTTGGGGATCCCAGTTATGGCTGTAGCGAGGGAAGGGAAAGGGAAGGGACAGGGTCTAGCCTGCCCCTGAGCCAACACTGACTCACCCACCCCCTGTGAGGGCAGCTCGGGCATCACCCGGTGCCAGCCCTGCCCCCCTCCCAGCCACAACCCTTGGGGCCTGGCCTGCCACCCCCTGTGCATAATAAGGCCTGGACTCTGAAAGGCCAGGGAAGGCAGCAAAGCAGTGTCCTTCTCATGAGCTCACTGATCTCCCATCATCCTGTGGGGGAGGAGGGCATAGGTGGTCATAACCCGTTCCACGGAGAGATGATGGGCTTATCCCAAGGCCACGCTGGCCAACTGGAAGCCCCTCATCCTGACTCCCAGCCTGGCCCTCTGCCAAATGCAGGGAACCACTTGGGCTAGCGTGGGGTGCCTCTTCCCGTGGTTGCCACTGCCCCTTCTGCCATCCAGCCACATTTCCGCCCTGAGGCTGAACCTCCTCCCAGGGCTCTCCTGCCCTCTCGGTCGGTCCTCTGATCTTTAATGAGTGCCCCTTGTCACAAGACCATGAAATTCTTAAAGGCAGGGGTGGGTTTTCCTTGTCCCCTCAGTCCTGGGCAGCCCCTAGCACCCAGCAGGGGTTCAGGAAGTGCCTGCACCACGTACCAAAAGACAGATGGCTCTGGGGCTGGGGGGGGGGGGGGCGGGAGTCTCCCGTAACCTCTGCCCTGCCCTCAGCAGCAATCCCAGAACGAGAGTCGCTTTCGGAGAGCCACAGGGGAGTGGGAACTTCCCTGCGATGCCCTAGCTGGGAATCAGAGGGCAGCCACCTGTGCCCCCACCCCACAGAAACACTGGAGGGGTTATTCCTGTTCTGCCTCTCCTTTCTTCCTTCTCCCCCCTCCAACCGAGTTCCGACAGCCCACCCTATTTGGGATTTGGCAGCAGAAAGGCACGGTCTGTATTCCAGCCCCCACCCCAACCCAACTGGCAGCTCCTAGCCTGCTGCCTTTGCCCGGACATGGCAGAGGGGTACTGGCAGCTTGGAGATGGAGCTGATTTTCCCTTTGGCAGTGGGGAAGATGGGGGGGGGCTTGGCCACCCCCTGGGTTGGGGGAGAGGGCAGGGATGCGAGTCTAGACAAGAGGCAGAGGGAGAAGGTGACTTCCCCGGCATGTGGGGTCACTGTATCAAGCTGGGGGGCAGGAGGCTGTGTGTAAAACCAATTGTCCCTGCACTCGGCCTGGGTCCCCATTTCAGAGCCCTGGCCCTCAGTTCCTGCAAACCAATAGTTTCTGGACTCCTGGGGTGAACATTTGCTGTGTGTGTGTGGGGGGGTGCAGCATGGTGAGCTTCTCTCCCCTTCCACGGCTGAGTCTGTGCCTCCTCCCCTCCTTCCCACTCCTACCCATTTATTTGCCTCCTTGCCTCTCATCCTTCCTGCCCTTCCCTTCTCTCTTTTCCCTCCTCTTCTCTCAGCCCCCACCTTCCTCCTTCAGCTCCCCTCTCCCTCTTTTCCCTTTCTCTCCCGGCCCCCTCCTCCTCTCCCGTGTGGGGGCTGCTTTCTCCCTGACTCAGCAAGGTGCTTTATAAGGTGCTGAGGGGGCTCAGCCAAATCCAAACCACATTGTGCAGACACTCTCCATAAGGAGCAGGCTGCAAACCAGGGGAGAAGGACGGACTGCACCCCCGCACCCCACCCCGGCCCTTCATGGCTCCCTCCCTCTGAAACGGAGGCTCCTTGAGGACCTCTTGGCTGGCCTCATTGCCAGTCACCCACTGGGCATCTGCCTTCTTGACCTTGGCATGGGCATCAAAAGATCGCGGGGCTCACCGGCCAAGAATGTCATTGAAACTCCAGAGTTCTGGCTGGGGTGGAGGGGTGAGGGGGAAGAGTTCCCCCCCCCCAGCACTTTTCAGAAGGAGCCGCACCCCCCAAGCAGATTTCGTCAGAGCTGCTACTGATGCCCCGGAAAGCCCCCTGCCCCCAACCCCAGGCCAGCTCCCCTTTCCCAGCTCTTTTTCTCCTTGTTTAGAAAGAAGAAGAAAGAAAGAAAGAAAGAAAGAAAGAAAGAAAGAAAGAAAGAGAAAAGAAAAAGAAAAAAAACCCAACAACAAAGTCTGTCCCACTCCAGTGAGGTAATTGAAAACAAACTTCTTCCCCCCCCCCCCCCCCCCCCCCACCTCAGTCCGCACAGTGCAGAACAGGGAAGAGCTGCCTGGGAACCCAGCACTGGTCCTGACCACGCCGCCTGGCTCTGACCTGCAGCCTGGAGGGGCTGTGGCAGGGCTGGCAGGGCACCCCCCTCCTTTCTCTGGGGGCACTGGGGCAGGAGTGTGGAGTGAAGAATCTGATGCTAGTCCAGAGAGAGGAATCACCTTCCAGGGCTGGCCCACCACCGCCTCTCCCACTTTGAAAAAAACAAACAGCAGAAGCAACTTATTACCAAATGATTTAATTGGTGGTCTGGATCTAGAGCACTCAAGCCTTGGAGACCAAAGGACTGTCCCCCAAGAAGTCACCAAGAGGAGATGTCTGCAAGCCCCAGACGCGAGCCGTTTCCTCTGCACTCCCCCTGGCAGCTCTCTGGACCGGGAGAAAGGGGACGGGAAGGAGACCCTCTACGGAGGGTGTAGGCTTATGGGTCCCCCAGGTATCCTGCCTAGCAAGTCCCCACCCAGGCCTGAGGGAAGGAAGGAGGGAGAGCACTCCGCAGCCACCACCGCCCCCCCCCGTACCCCACCACTGGAAAACACCAACAACCCCAAACCCCAAAGGCAAGAGAAGACCAAAAGTCTTTAGGGGGAAGCATTTCACAAATGGGGACTCTTGGTCTGTCCATCGCCTTGAATGGGAGCATTCCCGCTGAGTCACCCGTGCAGCCTCTGGTGTTGAAACTCGTCCGGTGCCTCCTGCTGATTAATGAACTACAATTCCCCCACCCATGTGCAGTCTCCCGGCCACGGGGAAGAATGAAGAACCTTGTGAACCTGAGGGGAAAACCCTCAGCCAAGTGCCCTCTACTTTCCTTAGAGCTGGGCAGTGGGCCTGTGGTGCCCTCTGTCTCCCCCACCCCAGGGGGCATTGTGAGCCAGTTAGTCACCTGCCCCAGCCCCAGCGCCTCACTTAGCCCCAGCTCTTGGAAATGGGACAGGCGGCGGGACAATAGGCAAGGGGGGCGGTCAGCCCAGACAAAGGGCAGCAGGAAAAACACCATCACTTGCTACGAAGCCAGCTCGCTGGCATTTGGGAGAATGTGTCATTGCATTTACTCAGGGGGAGGGGGAGGGGAGGGAAGGTTAGAGATGAGGAGTCAGAGGTAGGGCGAGCGCAGGGACCCCGCACCCCAGGTCGACGCCGTCGGAGAAGAAAAGGAGCGGGCGGCTCCCTCCCCCAGCTCGGGGAGTCTGCAGACGGACTGATGCCCTCCCCGCCCCCTCCCCCAGGAGGCCCAGGGTGGTACCGCCGCAGCCTCGCCTCACCTCACCCCCCCTCGGTGTTGTGGGAGGGATAGGAGCCCCAGAAGCCCTCCCTTCCCTCCTCCCCCCTCCTCCCCCCAGCCCGGGGAGGGCCGCTACAATTTGTGGTTACAGCTTTACACGTCAGAAAAAAAAAAAAAAAAAAAAAAGTTTGCAGAATGTCCCACACCGAAGAAAAAAAAAAATCCGAAACCGAGCGAAAAAAACCTGCGAGTGGGCCTGGCGGATGGGATTATTAAAGCTTCGCCGGAGCCGCGGCTCGCCCTCCCACTCCGCCAGCCTCCGGGAGAGGAGCCGCGCCCGGCCGGCCCGGCCCCCAGCCCCATGGACCTCCGAGCAGGTAGGAGCCTGGCGTCCGAGGCCCCGGCCCCCGCCCCCGCCCGGGAGCCGCGAGATCCGGTTCCCGTGCCTCCTCCGGGAGCCCCGAGCCGGGGCCGGGCTGGGGAGCCGGGAGCTACCCCGGCCAGCAGGGCTCGGGCCGGGGGAGGCACGGCTGCGCGCCCTCGAGAGGGGCCGGGCGGGGACGCGGCATTCCTGAAGTCCGCCCGGCGGAGCCAGGAGGTGGCCGGGAGCGCGGCGGGGAGCCCGCGCGACCCGCTGACCAGGGGAGCCGGCAACCTGGAGCCCCTGCGAGACGGGGTCCCGGGGATCCCAGCGGAAAGAGCCCCGCGCGAAAGTCGGGGAGAGCGAGTCCGAGGCGGGGAGCGGGGCTGCGGGAGGGAGACGCGGCGCGCGGGGAGGAGGGGACCGGGGAGGAAGAGGGGAGAAGGGCGGGGAGCCCGAGGCCGGGCCGGCGGGAGGCGAGGGGAGGCCGACACCTCGGGCCCGCCGCGCTCCCTCCCCGGCCCGCCGGGAGGGGAGGGCGGGAAGGAGGGCGGGCGAGAGGAGAGGAGGGCGGAGGGCAGAGCCGAGCCTGGCTGGGCCGGGCCGGGCCGGGCCGGGCCGGGCTGCGGGACTCGCGGCTTCCTCGCTGCGCGCTGCGCGGCTGGAGCCCACCATGCTGCCCGCGGCCGGGGAGCCGGCGGCAGGTAGGGGCCGGGCGGCGGGGCGGGCGGCGGCGGCAGCGAGTCCCCGGTCCGGCCCGCCGTGGCCTGGGAGTGATTAGTGCGGGGGACGGGCACAGCCCGGCCGGACCGGGCAGGAGAAAGTCCGTCACCGGCGGCAGCGGCCGCTCGGCCCCGGCGGCCCGCGGGAGGGCGGGCGGGCAGGGCAGGGAGTTGACGCGCGGGAAAGGGCAGCGGCCCGGCAGAGCCCGGCGCCCCGGACCCCGCCCCCGCCCCCGCCGCCGGGAAGGGAGCGACCGGGCGGGAGCGGGCCGGGGGCGGGGCCGGGGGCGCCGAGGCCACACAAGGGGAAGGCGCCGCCGCCGCGGGGAGGGGGCCGAGAGCGAGAGGTCACCGCCGAGGGGGAGGGCCAGCGAGCGGCCGCCTCCGCAAAGTTCTCGGGCCGAGCCCCTCGAGGGAAGCCCCAGGTCCCCCGGGCCTCTCCAGAGTCCCCTCATCTCTGCCTTCCCCACCTTCCTTCCCAGTGACCCCACACTGCGCTCCAGAAGCCCCCACGCGCACAGACCCCCAGTCCCAGAGGACCCCGTCCCAGTTTCCCCCAGCGCCCGGCCTGGCCCTCCCCGTTGGGGTAGGAGGGAGCTGCCAGGAGGGGAGGGGAAGGTGGAAGTCCCCAGCCTTGGAAACGGGCTGAGCGTGAGGGCAGTGGACACACACCTCTGTCAGGAACTCTCTGACCCTGACCCTGAGGGGCTGACACCTCCCGCCTTTCACAACCCCCACAGAACCCCGTTTCCGGCTCTCAGCACACACTGCCCCTCCCTCGGGACACCGGGACACATTCCTCGGAGAGACCAGACAGCAACCCCCGCCTCCCCCTGCAGTTTGGATCTGCCACCCTCACTGCCCTGGAGCCACACACTCAACCAGGGGAGAAAACAGGCACCAGGCAGATGGCAGCAAGTGTCACCTAGCAGCCCTCCCGTCCCCAGTCTCTCCTCCAGACTGGTGTAATGGCTCCCTCTCCCCTCCACAGAGCCCCGCACTCCTCCCCGTTCACACTTGTGCACACCACCTGGCCACACCAGCTACTCTATTAGTGACACTTCACATTCCTCCCCACAATCCAATCCCACCTGCCTATTCACACCGGGGCTCCGGCCTGCTCCCTCCCAGCCCCTCCCACACCTCTGAATAACAACACCCTTTCAAACTCACCCACACACTTGCCCAGACTATTTCCTTCTCTTGGTCCCCATGCCTGGCTCTTAGCTGGCTGCTCAGGTGCCCCAGCTTCATCCTGCACCCCTTGGGAACACCTGGGGTCCTCTTGCAGCACAATCCAGAACCTCTCACTCCAACAGCCCAACTCCTGTATCCATATTGACTTCACAAGGCAGGGTGGCCGGCCCACCTGTCTGCTTCTTTCCCTGGGCCTCAGGCCTCAGTTTCTTCTTCTGTCACTTAGGCTGGAAGAGAAGGGCAGGAAGGGGGCTGCTGAAGATGACAGCAGAGATGGAGCCGACACGGTTCCGCTGAGAGGGACTTCAGTGTGCATAGCGCAGCCCTCGCGCAAGCCCCATCACCTGATGGGTTGGTGGCAAAGCTAGGGCTCCTGACTTCTGGGCCTATGTGTACTCACTCACTAAGCACTTCTCAGTGACCTGGGGCAGAGGGAAACAAGGAGAGGATGGAAGGGAGAAGAGACAGAGGGGAGGGCAGTCAGCCCAGAGGACAAGGAAAGATGGGCTGTTTCTGTGGGCCTTTCCCTTGAGGAGGCAGGTCAGGAGGAGCCCCCGAGGGCCATTTCCTACAGTGCAGTGCCGGATCTCCCACTGCAGTGGACACATCACCCCCTAAACCACTTCCTTTCCCCAACTCCCCTCAACAGATCCCTCCAAGGTCACCGGGGAAGCTGGTCCAGGGCTGGCCTGAGGGCGGAGCCTTTCCGGCTGGCTCCCACATTTTTCAGCACCTCTGGAGCCCTGTGATGCCTCCCTGGCTCCTACATTTTTGGCTGATAGCCCTTACGCACCCATCCCAGGTGCCGAGTCTCCTGGCTGATTTGTCCTGCCCACCCTGGTCACCCTGGCCCATCTGCCCCACTGAGCCCCCCACCCTCACTGAATGAGGTCAGCCTGGAGGATACAGGCCAGGGATCAAGGGGCGGCTGCTAAAGACATGCGAACGCGGCTATGCGTGCCTGTGCTGCCCTGTCAGGGTGGCCATGCGCTTGCATGGGCTGAGTGTGTGTGTGTGTGTGTGTGTGTGTGTGTGTGTGTGTGTTCACGAGGGGGGCCTAGGTTCCCAGGGCCCAGGGATCTGGATGGAATTAGGGGCCGACTGGGCGGGGGCCAGGATGGGGGGTGGGGGGCTCCAGCAGGAAACGTGAGCTGCACTCATTAGCTCCTCACGTGCTCAGCCGGATTTATAAACACAGGGGAAGACGGGATGTAAACAATCAGTGGGCAGCAGCCAGAGGCAGAGCTGGGGTGGGGGCTGGGCTAGGGGCCAGGACTGGGGGAGGGGGCCCAGGACACAGCCCCCAGTGGCCCCGTCCACCTGCACACCGTGAGCCTGGCCGGAAGGACGGAAGAGGGCTCCGGGATGCCCACCTACTTCTCCCTCCCAGGGACGCAGGCAAGCTGCAAGCTGCACCAAGTTCCACTGCTTACAACTAAACCACAGGTGTTCTTTGCCCCAGATGGCTATCAGTTTGCTTCCTGAGATATGGGGACATCTTGCCCAGAGTGGAAGCTGTTGTAATCGAGAGTAGAGCCCTGTCCCCTTTCTCCTCTCCCAGCCTCCTCTCCCTCTAGATACCTGAGACTCCTTCCTTCTTTCTGGCTCTCTCTATGGGTCGGTCAGTACGATCTTTCTGCTCTTTCCCCTGCCCCCACCCCCCAGCCTGCAGTGACACAGTTACCTCAGAACTGAAATATTCCTGGAAACACCAGCCTCGTCTGGTTAATTTCATGAGCCGTTTTTCTGCCCAGATGACTTAGCTCTTGTTTATCCAAAGACTTCTCCCCCTGTTGTCCCTGTGTAGGGAGCCAGTTCTCCCCAGGGATGTCCCCCAGGGCCCAGAAGGGGAGGGGAAAACAAGGCCCAGAGTTGGGGGTCCTGACCCTGTGCCCCTCCCCCACCCCCTCCATGCCATTGGCCCAGTCTCAGAACTCTGGCCAGAAGGGCTGCCCAAAGCAGGGCGGGGGTGGGGGGGGAAAGAGGTGAGCCCAGCTCCCAGGGTTTCAGCTGGGACCCTCAGCATTGCTGCTAACTCAAGGCTGGAAGGGCCACTGCGCACCTCAGCATGTCTCCAACCTCCAAAACTAACCCCATATTGTACCCTTCGGATCTTGGAAGTGACTCTGCCAGATATCCAGGCTGAGGGTAGCCCCAGGCTTCGTGCAGAGGAGAAGGGCCTGGAATTCTCTTGGGATGTGAGAAACAGTGAATAGAAAGGAACACAGAGTCAGCAGGAGCTAGGCATGGAAAGGCAGAATGAGGAAAGGAGCACCAGGAGGGAAGCCACGGGCTGCAGATGGGGACAAGGACAAGGGGGTCGGTCACCTGCTGATCCTGCTCTCTGTCTACATACGCACCCACCCACCCACCCATGCTCTCAAACGAAGAGCCCCTTATCCCCAGGGGCAGGGTCTCTGAGACTGGTGCTCTCCCCCACCCTGCCCACTCCCATGCTCCATCAATAAAGTTGCCAACCAAGCATCTGAAAGGGTCAAGACTGATGGGCTGGGCCACTGCAGAAGTCCCTACCTGACCCCTGCACCCTTGTGAGAGGCATTCTCTACAGTTGGAGTCTTAAACCCTCTCTAAAACCCTGACCCCGCGTTACGACTAACTCCAAACTCCCCCCAACTCTAAGCACAGTCAAATTGTCAAACGCATATCCAACTCGTTTCTATCACATATGTCATTATGAAGCTTTGAAAGTGGAAAACAGAAAGTAGAAGAAACGACTCATGATCTCACACCTACCCAAGCTTAAAACCCAAACCAGCCGTCTCTTCGTGACGCGCCATGTGTTACCCCAGCTGACATCTAAATCAACACATTCACAGACCTTGGCCCCAGTGAACCCTGTGCCTGTCCAAACCTAACCACATCCCCCAGCTGGACTCAAACCTCAACCACACTCAATCAGCCAAATCCTAATAAACTAACCTGAAATTTTAAAAGTAACCCAGTCCTTAAACCTAACCTAGCCCACTGCCAATTATAGCCTTACCCCAACCTAACCTTAATTGCCTTTACCCAGTCCCAATGCCCACTGAATCCTGGCCTCATTCTCTTCACTGTGGACCTCACCTAAAAGCTGGGAAAATCATGTCTCCCAACTGCCTGCATCCGTCCTCACAGAACTGAGCCCTGGGCTCTGGCATCTCAAGATGTCCAAACTCTCCAGCACCGTTGGCTGACAAACCAAACGCATCAAATACATCATATTCCCTCTCCTCCTCCTTTTCACTTCCCCCACCCTCCCTCTTCACTGCAGGCTGATCAAAGGACCTCATTCAAGGGGTGCCTGGTGGCTCAGTTGGTTAAGCATCTGACCCTTGATTTCGGCTCAGGTCATGATCTCTCGGGGTCCTGGGATGGAGCCCCCAGTCACGCTCCATGCTCAGCGGGGGAGTCTGCTTCCCCTCTTCCTCTGCCCCACCCCTGCTCGCGCACGCTCCCGCACGGGCACACACACACACACACACACACACACGTGTGCGCGCGCGCTCTCTCTCTCTGAAATAAATGAATACATCTTAAAAAACAAACAACAAACTCATTCAGGTCAAACTTTTCCCCATGCAACCTCCTAGATAAGAACGGGGCAAACCTCCACCCTGCGTCAGTCCATACCCAGGAATCTTGCTACGCTAGAACGTACCCACCACTGATTACAGGAGCCAGCCCTGTGTCCTTCAGCCTGACGCTGGTGATCTAACCCTCCCCCTTGCCTCCTATGGCTCAGCTTGGACTTGTCTCGGGGCAGCCTCTCTCGGGCCCTTCCCAGGGCTGACTGCTCTCAGCCGGCAGCAAGGACACGTGCTGTTTCCCACCCCTTGGCTCCAGTGGGACTGGGAGGCTGGGAGAGGAGGCTGAACCCAGGAATACTGATTCACAGACCCTAGGCCTGGCCCCGTCCCTCCACGTATGCACACATATGTGTCGGCATACGGATGGTGACTCTCAGCTGACACACTAATATACTCTCCAATATGTGCTCATAGATACACACACAGAGGCCAAGTCCTGGTCCTCAAACACATACATGCCTCCATACACACACACCCCGGCCAGGAACACTCCCTTCCTCCACCCCCCCTGCCTCCCATCTGGCAGCCCCCACTCACCACCCCCCCAGCCCAAGGTGGGGACAGGCACCTGAGGGGCTGCCAGCTGAGTCCTCCACTGGGCCTGGGCCCGCCCTCATGCCTCTTGCCCATCCTGTCCACAGGGGACTCGTGGGGGATGCTAGCTTGCCTGTGTACTGTCCTCTGGCACCTCCCTGCAGTGCCAGCCCTCAATCGCACAGGGGACCCAGGGCCTGGCCCCTCCATCCAGAAAACCTACGACCTCACCCGCTACCTGGAGCACCAACTCCGCAGCTTGGCTGGGACCTACGTGAGTACCCGGGGCGGCTGAAAGGTCTGGGAGTTGGGCAACGAATGACAAGTTGGTGGAAGAGAGACAGAATGGTGGAGGGGTTCCAGTGAGCACTGGTGACCAGGGGGGCCCTTGGGTTCCAAACAGTCCCCATGTCTGGCCTATCTCCTGCCCTTCCCTCTTAGGTGCCCCCTCCTTCCCATCCCTGGCCCCAGGACTAGGCATGTGGGCAGGCCTCGCACCCGCCTTGGCCCATTGCCCCACTGGCTGCCGGCCCAGCCGCCCGCCTCCCCCTGGGGGCCGGGGAAGTCTCTTCTGTTTACACCGTGTTGTGGTGTCTCTTGCACGGGCGGGGCTGGGTGGGGATGGAGGGGCCCCACCTCCCATGCCTGTGTTCCAGCTCGCCTCTGCCCCAGACCTGGGGCCCTGCTGCTCTGGACCCATGGGCCTCCCCTCTGTCTGCCTCTCCCATCCTAGCTGGGCCTCCTAGGGGGGACTTGGGGGAAGGGGGCTGCAGGGAAGCCAGGCCAGTAGTGGCAGGAGGTTCAGGGGTGTGGATGGAAGTTGTGCCATAAGGATTTGGGGGCAGTCCAGAGGTGTTCTGAGAGCCCAGGAGAGAAGGAAAGAGGGTCAGAGTTGCCGAGGACTATGGGGAACCAGCCCCCTCTTCCCGTGTTCCTCTTCCACATCCCAGACCCTACTCTGGAGCCAGGGAAAGAAAGGGGAGGAGGGTGGCGGGGGAGCTGGCTCCAGCCCCAGGATACACCGAGGAAATTAGTTTGTCTCTGTGCTTGTCAGCGTGTGAACCTCCCCCTGGGCCCTTGCCTATCCCAGGCCTCGCCCCTCTCTGCTCCCTTTCTCTCTGGCTGCAACGTCCCCCTCAGCCCTTTCCCTGGGCCCCAGGCCTCTCCCTTGAGGGTTGGCAAAGCTCTGTCCTCCCTAGACTGCCTCCTCTACCCTTCCTCCAACCCAACTCTTGAGACTGCCTCAGTTTCTTCCTTCTGCAGCCCCGCTCCTATGAGCCCTTCCTTGGGGGACTTAGTGCTTCGGGAGCACCCTCTGTCCCCTGCCCTTCCGCCCGTAGGACCAGGCATGGAGGCATCGGGAGGCAAATGGAGCCCTGATTCCCACGGGCCCCTCTGCCTTTCCACCCGCTTTCCCCTTCCCTGGCCAAAAACCTTTGCTTGACTCTGCTACCCCCTCTAGCTCCCGACCCTTTTTCTCTCCTGGCTTTCCCTGCCAAACTTCTCGAAGGAGTGGTCTACACCCTCTGCCTCGGCTTCCTCTCCGCCCACTCACTCCTTAACCCCCTGCAATCTGGCCTCCAGGCCACTGAAGCGGTTCTCTCTCCGAGGTCATCAGGCACCTCCTTCTTGCCAAACCCGACAGAATTTTCTAAGGCTCACTCTCCTTGGTGTCTGTTTTGCAGCCACACTGTCCAGCACTGCTGCCTTCTGAACTCTTCTTGGCTCTGCACTCTTCTGGTCCACCTTCCACCTCTGCAGCCTGGCCTCCGGGGTCCTCCCGGCCCCTCTTCCTCTCTGCCCTGCCCCGCGGCGGGCCCACTCCCAAGGCTCGCACACACAGCCAATCAGCACGTCCTCCCTGAATATCTCCTGCGAGTTTTTCTCTTTCCACACCTCTCCATAGGGGAGTTCGTCACCCCCACTGCCTCAGCTGTCACCTCCATGCAGATGACATCCCCGGAGAAACTTGGGGGAGGCCCTGGAACAGAGAGGGGCCTAGTGTGGAGATGGGGCCAGTGTCAGGGGACACAGGACATAGCAGCTCTGGGGGCAGGTATCTCCTGGTGACCGCTGGCTACTCGGCCCTCCTCCTTCCACATCGCCCTCTCCTTTTCACAGCTGAACTACCTGGGCCCCCCTTTCAACGAGCCTGACTTCAACCCACCTCGGCTGGGGGCAGAGACCCTGCCCAGGGCCACCGTCAACCTGGATGTGTGGCGAAGCCTCAACGACAAACTGCGGCTGACCCAGAACTATGAGGCCTACAGCCACCTGCTGTGCTACTTGCGAGGCCTCAACCGCCAGGCGGCCACGGCCGAGCTGCGCCGCAGCCTGGCCCACTTCTGCACCAGCCTCCAGGGCCTGCTGGGCAGCATCGCGGGGGTCATGGCGGCTCTGGGCTACCCGCTGCCCCAGCCTCTGCCCGGCACTGAGCCCACCTGGGCCCCTGGCCCTGCCCACAGCGACTTCCTCCAGAAGATGGACGACTTCTGGCTGCTAAAGGAGCTGCAGACCTGGCTGTGGCGCTCAGCCAAGGACTTCAACAGGCTCAAGAAGAAGATGCAGCCTCCCGCGGCTGCAGTCACCCTGCACCTGGAGGCCCGTGGCTTCTGATCTCTGACCTTCGCCACCTCCCCACTCCCCTGCTCCTTCAAACCCTGCGCCCGCTCGGGGAGGGAGAAACCTGTATGCCAACACTCGTTGAGCCAGGAGACAGAAGCCATGAGCCTCTGGCCCTCTCCGGACTTGAAAGAGGGTGTGATGCAATAAGGCCTGTCCCCTCCCTGCTTCCCAAAGTTGTGCAGGTCTGGGGAAGAGGTGCAATAGGCCCTGTCCCATCGCCACAGGAAGGAATGCTCACGGGAGCCCCAAGGGGCTCAAGTTGGTGCAAAGGCTCTCACAGCTTCCTGTGTCCTGCCCAGCACTGGCCAGTGCCCCACTGCCCCTCCAGTGGTGCTCCCGGGAAGCATGCCTGTAGGGCAGGGAAGGGGGAGCCACCACAGCACGTGCCTTTCTGGGGTGAAGCCCTTCGGCTGCCCCGCTCTTCTTCGATGGCTGTTGCGCCCCTGTCCGCAAATAACTCAGTACATCCGATTCGGGAAACATACACAGTGGCAAGTCCGAACAGGAAAAAATGGGATTTAAAAGTGGAAGAGGAAGGGTCTGCATTGGAGGTGGTACTGAAAGCATAGGGCCAGGCACAGGCCGGACCCAGGGGTCACCAAGGCAGTCGGTGGCACAGGATGGCAGCCAAAATGACCTTGCCTTGCATCTTGTCGCCGGTGCCACGGTGCCTCCTCCCCACCCCGTCTCCGGGCCGGCTGTGGATTGCCCCGGCTGGGGAGGGCAACCGTAGCCACAGCCACAGGATCCCCTGAAAGTTTACATTGCAGTAGCATTGCGGGTGCGGGGGGCAGCCCCCCCAGGCCCTGCCCCCCAGCCTCACCCACTCATGACTCTAAGTTTGTTGTATTAATATTTATTTATTTGGAGATGTTATTTATTAGATGATATTTATTGCAGAATTTCTATTCTTGTATTAACAAATAAAATGCTTGCCCCAGGACTTCATCTCTTTGCTTGGCCTTGCCCCTCCTCCTGGCCCTTCCCCGCCTGGGCTCCCGCGCCCCCACGGGCTCGGAGCCTGCCAGTCCAAGAGGTAGCTCGGAGAGGCAGAGAACTTGGGGAAGTGGCTCTGCCCTGTCCACAGGGAGGGTGTGCACGCAGCACACTCTGCTCCTCCACCCACGGCGTGTTCCTTTAGTCCTTCCACCGTCTTGTCTGCCCCCTCCCAGCCTTTGCTCAGCCCGCCTCACCTCTCAGGATTATTTTAAGGGTCTTGTAGGTCTGTCTCCCTAAGCTGTCCACCTGTCCCTCCGGTCAGCCATGCACAGTCAGCCCTCAGCTTCACCAGTCCTCCCACCCCCGTGGCAGCCCACTGGGGCCCCCAGCAGTGACCTTCACCTCAATACCCTTCCTCTTCTGGGGAGCGTGACCGACTGTGGCCAAGTCGCAAGTCTCAGCTGTGACTCTACCCCTTTCTTTCCAGGGTAAGTCAGCAGGTTAGGAGGAAAGAGAATAACTCAGATTGGTCTGCAAGCAAATGGGGTAGATGCTATTCAAGGGATGACCTCAGCTCCAAGCCCAGCCTCGAAGCCTCCTAGAGTGACTTTGGACAAGTTACTTAAAGGTCTCTATTCTCCAGTTTCCCCGTCTGTAAAATGGGGATGATGAAACAGCCTTCTAAGACTGTTTGAAGGATGAGAGAAACAATAAAGGTGAGGTGCCTGGCCACAGCAGCAGGGATCAGTAATCAGGTGACTTGGAACAGATCAACCTGCCGGGACACTCTAGCGAAGAGCCGCGGAGTAAGTTGGGCTGACTGGTCCCAGCTAACACAGAGGTATTTTACCAGGAGACGGTGCCCTAAGCAAAGGAAGTAACAAATGATGGTCCTGTCAAGCAATCTACAAATACTTTAAAGACCTGCCCATCATTATGTTAACTGGACTAGGAAATCCAAGAGAAGTCTGAGACCTAACTTGGCTCCTGCCCTGATGGAGCCTGTGACCCATCTGGGGAGAGAAGACTGGCAGTAGAAACTACCGCCGGGTGCGTGAGTGTAGATGCAAGAGCTACTGGACCTGCTTATGGTCGAACCGGGTTCTACTGACTGTCCCACAGTCACCTGGCCCAAGTTGGATTGGAGGGGACATGCCCCACGGAGGGGTCCAGGCTCTTTGGGCAGGGACATCTGCCCTGGCTCTGTCTAGATATCCTGCAGGCCTGCTGCCTATCTAACAAGATAGGAAGGAGAGGGCATCTGGGCTGTCTCCACGCTGGGGCAAAATGAGTAGCAGCCTGTCAGGTGTAAGGCACCAAGCAAGGGGCTATACAGAATACCGGGAGAAGGAAGGCATATCCCACACTCCTGTACTGAGAGCTTCTTGGGGGCCAGACTTTGAGTTTTCCCCATCTCTTTATCCCAGGGCAGGCGCAAGCCCAAAGAAGGTGTTCAATTAGCGTGTTGAACCAAACCACCTAGAAAAGGGATCCCTTGCCCAAATGCTAAATTCCAAGGCAGAATTTGATTAGCTGCGGAAAGACCTGGATGGAATCCCCGGGAGACAGGGAAGGCAGGATGGCATCCCTCCGCTGAGGGTGCTGGTCTGTAAGCCTCGTGGGGAAGGCAATGGTGTCTGCCACCACCACTGTCCTTCCAGTGCCCAACACAAAGCAGGTGCCGCTGCATGGCCTCTCCAGGTAGGGTTTGGACAGGGGCAGGACAAGGGTCAGTTCAGTGTGTCTGTCTCCCTTTTAAGCAGATAGCATCTCGAGGGCAGGTTCCATAATTTATTTGTCTTTGCATCCCTACAGCATTTTAACACAATGCCTGCACCGAACTAAAGTACTTGCTAATTTAACGTAAGCTGATTTAAAGAGTGTCAAGCAATATTGTGTGAGAAGTTAAGAGAAGTGAGTTTTGGGGAGGCCGTCAATCAACAGTGTCAGAGGCCCCAGAAGCACTGGGGGACGAATTCGGGGGGAAACCCACTGAGAAATCAGGAAGTCACGGGTGACCTTTGCAAGAGCAGTTGGGAGGCAGACGCCAAATTGTGAGATTAAAGGAGGTGGTGAGAAAGAAGAAGGAGTAAGTGTATTCTCCCCGGCGTTTGGTGGCTAAAGGAATACCTAGGCAGGTAACAGGAGCACTGATGTGTGGTTGGCTGGTTTGCTGTTGTTTCAAACAGAGAGATCTAAACACGAAATTGCTGTGGGAGGGGTGGCAGCTGGAGAAGAATGTAGAGAGCCTCAGGGAATGGAATCAGGGACAAGCAGAAGAAGGGAATCAAAATCGTTGCCTCGTGGAGCCAGGTGACATCAGCACACGCATCTCTGTCATGGGCTGTGACATTCCCCAGCAAGCCACAGACGGCCCCAGGTGAGGACAGAGAGAAGACAGGGTGCTTCCCAAGGCCCAAGGACTGACAAAGCAGGAATGGCAGAGAATTGAGGGTTGGTTGAGACTCCAGAGGGTTAGGAATGGTGCTTTTGAGTGCACACAGGGCTGGTAGCAGAGGGAAAGTAGGGAGGAGAGTGATCTGGAAGGGTGGGCAAGTGCTGGAGGTGGCTCCCGTGGAAGATGCAGAGGGGGCACCCCCAGCAGCAAGGTGGGGGAGGTGGACACAGAGGAGAACCGAGCCAGAAAGGGCATTTCAGAGTTTGAGTTCTTGAACTCTCCCCCAAATAGCTCCCTACTGATGGTGTCAGGGTGTGAGTCCCCCCTTTGGGTTTTGGAGCTGTGGACCAAGAGGCAGGTAGCTCTTGGTAAAGACAAGTCATCAGGCTTTTCTATGAATTTGTTTGTTATTGGTTCTCCACCCATGGCAGCTCCAGGAGAGGTGATGAGTTAGTGGTGGTTATCCCAGGTCCCACCTCTTAAGTATGGCCTGAGAGTCAGGGGCGCAGGGATGCAGAGGTCAGCTTAAGAACCTGGAATGCCAAAAAAAAAAGAACCTGGAATGCCTGGGGCCCGGCAGTGCCATGGAGGAGAGGACATCTCTAGAAGTCCTTCTGTTCCAGGGAGGCTGGGGAGAGTGGGGCGGGGGGAGCGGGGAAGGGGTAGTGAGAGTAGGCTCTCTTCCCCCATCATCCCCATCCAGATAGCCCGGAGTGGATTAGAAATCTCAGCATCATCTTGGGTGTCCAGAAACGCACCTGCGTGTGAAAGGATGGGCAGAGGATGGAGAGCTGTCACTTGGGAGAGGCAACGTCACTGGCAGGGGTAGGAGCGGGTACAGGAGAGGTGGAGGGTGGCTAAAGGGTAGTGACACCTTGCCAGCTTCCTGCTTTTGCACAGACTGGCCCAACACCCGAGGACTTGGGGTCCTCTCAGTGTGTGAAGAGACTCATTCAGGCACTCATCTTACAGACACATGCACGCATTCACCCACTTGCCACGGCCACCCCAACTGGGGAAGGGCCAAAAGGGAGGCCCTTGTTCCCCTTAACCTGCAGGGTGAGGGCCAGTGATCTAGGCCATTGGCTGAGTGCTCTGATGGATGGCTGCCTCTCAGCTCCCCCTTCTTCTCTGGAGCCACAACTGTCCCTGCCTTTGTCCCTGTAATTCTTGAGCTCCCTGACTCAGCCTGGCTCCTCGATTCCCAGCAGTAGACAAAGCCCTTGTCAGTGAGGTGGGGGTGGGGACAACGAGGGAGTAGCCGTGAACTGTAGGACCAGAGTTCCAGCCCTTTCTTTCTCCCAACCTTCAGGGTCTTTCAGCCTCCCGAGTTCAGAGGTCACCTCCGGGCCCCTCCCCAACTTGCCCCCATCTCTAAGGCCTGGCCCATGGGGTGGAAACTAACTAGGACCTTCCTCCCAGCTAGACAAAGTCTGACACCTGGTGGCCAAGGTGAGAAATGGCCAGAAGGATCCCTTTTCAAATCTCCCCAGAATTTCTCCAGGGCCAGGCTGGCCAAGGTGAAAGGGGAGGTGATGGGAGCTTTGGAGGGGGTGGCTGGGACAAAGCAGAAGAGACAGCCAGTGGCAGAAAAACCCAGACGCAGGAGAACTTTTGCCTTCTGCCAGGCTCCTGCCCCTTAAGCCCACCCGGCCGGAGACCCTGGATGGAGCAGGGAGAGGTGGGGTGTCTGGGAGGATCATGATGGACTAGGAGGGGCCGCCTGAAAGAATTTTGGCCCACAGGGTGGAGAATGGGGCCCAGGGCGTGTGAATATGTGGGGGCTGGGGATATGAGTCTGGCTGCCCAGAATCTCCAGCTCAGGGTGGGTGGCAGGGCCTGAGGGCCTGAGGAAGGGGGGTGCTGGGGAGAAGGAAGGAGAGCAGGAAGGAGAGCAGGCTACGCCCCACAGCTTGCTGGGCCCCAGGCAGCTGCTTCCTTCGCTCTACCTGCCCCCACCTTCCTGGCTCTAGCTGGCTCTCTCCAGAAGCCCCATTGTGAGCAGGGGGAGGGGAAAGGGGCTCCCAGGGCGCCTGCGCAGTGCTGAGGCCCCCCACCCTGCCACATTGTCTGAGCTAAGCCAGGCCTAATCCCCCTTCCCGTTGGAGGAGTAGGCAGTGGGCCTCAGCCCTCAGGAAGGTGCTGGGCTCCTGTTCCAGTTCTTTGCTCTCTTTTCTCTTGGGTTCTCCCAAGACTTTGGCCTTGGCCTAGAGCAAGGCCCTTGAGTGTTCCCAAGCTGAGGTCACTCCTGCCAAGTGCAAAGGTCACTCCTGCTAGTCCCATCACCAGCCTCTGGGGGTCAGAGCTGACATAGAAACAGGCTCCTGGGTCTCAGGAAATTCCCTGAAGGAGGGAGAACTTAGCTCCCAACTCAGATCTCTGACCTGGCCCTCCAGCCTGACGCCTGACTTGTGATAGGCCCCACCATAGCAGTTTTGGGGATAGGACAGAAGGCTGCCTGAGTCGGGACTGGGGTTCCAGGAAGAAAGGTGATAGGGGGCAGACAGGGTTAGAGGAGTGAAGAAGGAAAAGACCTGAGGATGGGCAGGCCAAGGTTCTAGTGGCCAGCACACCTCAGGGATCCAGACACCAAGTTGGGGAAGGATGCCAATTAGACAGGGATGGTTCCAAAACTCCTGGGTGCCAACTCTTTTGAGTCAGGGAACTCAGTCCCACTACTGTCTGACTAGGACAGGAGGGCAATGCTGCCTGTGGAGAGTTCTCTTGACTCCAGGCCAGAAAACTGGTCCTAGGCCACTTGCACTTGAGCTGACCGCCCTGATTCTTTCTTGGGGCTGGGGGGAAGCTGAAGGCCAAGGGAGACAGCTTCCAGGCTAGGTGGGAGAGGCTGGCAGGGCCTGAGCCAGGCAGAGCTGGGGGCAGCTGGCAGGGATGGCCCAGACAGTGCCCACAGAGCAGGTCCGGGTGCCAGAGGAGAGAGGGAATGAGCTCGGGTGGTGGTAGGAGCCACTGTGGCCGCCCAGCGGCACACCCCATTTCACGCTCCCTGGGTGGTGGCAGGGCCCCACGGCTATCAGCTTTCAGGGGTGGGAAGGACCAGGAATGAGGAGGGGTCTGCCCCACCCATGGCTTCCTACTCCCTCAGGGCTCTGTGGGCTCAGGAGTGAGGTGCCACACACCTCTGGGAACGCCCTCTGGGGAGAGGGTGGTCAGTCCCACAGAGCCTGGGCACCATCCCTCTGTAGAGCCCACAGGGCCTGACGGGAGCCCACACCTCAGCCCTTCCCAGCCATGGTGGAGAGGGCCTCCCTGTTTTCCTCCCCAATGCAGCAGGGCCCCCGTCTCCCTCAATGTGGGCCCCACTTAGTCCACGAGGCAGATGGGGGATTAGGCCAGGCCCAGCCCAGAAAATAAAGCAGGGAAGGGCCCTCCAGCTCTGTGCAGTGCATTCATGAGCTCTGACTCCCACTCAGCCCTCCTCAAGGAAGTGCATGGGGAGAGCCAGGCAGGAGGAGGTCCCTGAAGACATGGCTGCTCTCGTTCCTCCCCTTTGGTGGTCTCTTGTCCAGAGCATTTCCTCTCTTATGCCCACCTTACTCCTAACACAGAGCACCGAGGCCCTGGAGCAGTGGGAAAGGGGAGGCAGAAGCATCTGGGCAGGCCCTTGCTCTCCTGGAAGAGCTGGATGGGATCTCTAAAGGGCACTTAGAGCTGGGCTGGCCCCTGTGCTGATTCCCAGACTCCCACTGACCAGCACTTTTGCCTGCTGCCAGGAAGTTGGTGAGGGGGAGGCGGGTGAAGGGGTGACTCAGCGATGACAGGAGCCCAAGGGACAAAGGTCATGGGTGGAGAATTGAGGGACGCTGTTTACAGCAGCCCGCCTCCTCCAGGAGGTCTTCCAGTGCTGAGCCAACCCTGTGGTCCAACCCCTCTCTGACCCACCCTTCTCCCCTTTCCTGTTTGTTAGGAATTTTATCCTTGCACTGACAACTCGTGTATCCTATCTGCCTACCCCATTAGCCTCTGAGCTCCTGGGTGGGGAGGGTACAGAGGGACTGTGGTTTAACTGGGGCCCCACAATGCCTGTGACGATCAGCACTTCCTACTTTGAAAAACTTATTTTATGTGGCGCCTGGCTGGCTCAGTCCATGGAGCGTGCGACTCTTGATCTGGGGTCGTGAGCTCAAGCCCCACGTTGGGGGTAGAGATTACTTAAAAAAAAGAAGAAGAAGAAGCATTTTACATCTAGTTTAGTTGAGTGAATTTGTAGGAAAGTGCTGAGAACAGTACTTGGCACACCGTAAGTGCCATGTAAGAGTTTAGTTTATTATTGGTATTTTCTACTCATACTGTCACATTAGTGAGACAGGGCAGATTTTACTGCTAAAGACCTGGGGATACAAACACTCTGGTCTCCTGCTCACTGTGGAATCTTCCTGACTAGGCATGGGCAGGCTACGGGAACCCCGGAGAGTCGACAAGGCCAACGCTTGCCTGGACGAAGAGCGGGCAGGGTCTTTGGGCACAGACTGTGAGAAAGGAGCTTTGGAACCCATGGGCTTCTCCAGCCAGGTCTCCTGGGGCCGGTGGGGGTGGGGTGGGAGCAGGGAAGGGGGCTGGATTAGCCCAAACGCTCTTCGGACCTCCAGACCTGCCCCCACAAGGCTCTGCGGGACAAGGGGTGGGAATGGAGGCTCCAGCTGGACTCTGGGGAGTTACCAACCGGCCACGGGGATTACTGAGGCTGAAAAGAACATTTGCCTAGGAAGGGAAAACGGGAAGTGAGAGCCTGAGGATAACGCTCTATAAGTCCCCTGAGACCCACTGCAGACCAATGGGGAGGAGGGGGGCAGGAGGAGGTGGTGCAGTCTGGGGCATCTTGACAGGTCCCCCACCCCAGCCTCACCCCTTCTCCCCCAGAACACAGCTGCTGCAGCTGCCCCGCCCCCTCTGCCGTCGCCGCCTGCCATTGGCTGGAGCCGGGCCCCGCCCTGCAGAGGCGGCCAACCATTGGTCTAGGTCTTTGATGTTTGTGCGCTTGTGGGGGTGGGGGACAGGCGTCATTCCCTGGAACCAGTGGACTTCCTCTCTGCTTGTCTGGGTCACCCTGTCTGCCCGTCGCTGGCCCCAGGCTCGCTCTCTGGCCCCAGCCCTCTTCTCTCTCTCTCCCTCAGCAGCTGTCTCTCTCGTGCCCGCTGGCCTCTCTCCTTCCCCGCAGTCGCCTCCTTCTCTGCCTGCCTGGGTGGCCGCCATGGGCCGGAAGCGGCTCATCACTGACTCCTACCCTGCAGTGAAGAGGAGGGAGGGCCCCGCTGGGCACAGCAAGGGGGAGCTGGCACCAGAGTTAGGTCTCTTACGTGTGGGGGGGGCGGGAGTAGTGGACACCGCTGAGGGGCATGAGAGGACGTGGGCGGACGTGGGCAATGGAAGGGGAAGTGAAGTATGTCCTCTACTTCCTACTCCAGGCCTGGCAGTGGCCGGCAGAGGCAAAGGGCTGGCGAGGGCCGGGGAGCAGTGGGGCAGCTGTGAGGCGAGGGGCAGGGGACTGGCCTTGCAGGGCACAGGCCTGGGCAGGCCTGAGGAGCAGCATGTCATTGCAGGGGAAGAGCCCCAGCCCCTGAGCGTGGATGAAGCAGAGCTGGAGCTGCTGAGGCAGTTTGATCTCGCCTGGCAGTATGGGCCCTGCACAGGTGAGAACGCTCCCAGGCCCCTGAAGCAACCCAAGGCCCTGCCTGACCCTCTTGGGCACTGTCTCCTGAGACTAGGGGGTGTGGAGGTCCTGACACACCCCTCCACACGCATTCTCTAGCCCGCACCCTCCATGAGGTGCCCGCGTCTCCTTCCCACCCTGGCAGGGATCACACGGCTGCAGCGCTGGTATCGGGCGGAACAGATGGGCTTGGAGCCTCCCCCAGAAGTGCGTCAGGTGCTACAGACCCACCCTGGAGATCCCCGCTTCCAGTGCAGGTCAGAGACAGGCCAGGGAGGGCTCTCAGGGGAGCCAGGCACCACCAGCCTGCTGGCCCCCCGGGGTGGGGGCTGCCCTGACCTGAGGAAGACATGGATGCAGGTTTGGGGCCTTGCTGAACAGGCAAGAAGGTTCTCTAAGGTGCCTGGCTCAGGAAGGCAGAAGAGGGCTTCAATAATTCTTATCGCTGGGCTAATGGTGGGGGAAGGGTGCACCCAGGGCCCAGGGGACTATCTATTTAGTTCAGAGGGGCTGGCCAAGGACTATAGGCCATGGCCAAGAATTGGGGCTGGTGAAATCAGATCAAGGACTTAATTGATTCTGGTTTCTCCCTCCCTGCCCCCTCCCCTTGCACAGCCTCTGGCATCTCTATCCCCTTTGAGGCACCACCTAAGACCTCCTGCCCGCTATCCCAGAACCTCAAGACACAAGTGAGAGCCGGTTGCTGCCCCCTTGGCTCAGTTCTGCTGTGAAGAACTTTTGGCAGGAAAAGAGCCTCATAGAGAAAAGAGGCTGAATCTGGAGGTCTCTGAGGCTCAGCCCTCCATCTAACCAGCAGGCTTCTGGAGGCCCTCTGAGAGCCAACACAGCTGAAGCTTGCACTTCCTACGTGGAGAATGGTGTCTGAGGACAAGGACCTGCCCATGACCTTTCAGATGCCTGCTACACGCCTCCCTGACCACAAATACTGTGGTCCTGGGAATAGTGTGGCAAATAGGCACAGCCTTGACATAGTCAGACTCAGGCAGATATCTACGAGGCAAAGATGCACTCCCCACTTAAGGCTGGGAATCTGAAGGCAAAACTGGCAAGAGGTTCACTAATGCTTATCAATAAAGAACACTGAGTCTGGAAGCCTGACCTCCAGTCCCTTAATATGGCCCTGCGTGGGCTGGCAGCAACCAGCAAGTTGATAGGTGGGAGAGAACCAGCACTACGCCTTCCCTCTGCGGCCCAACCCTAGACCTGAGACTAGACACTTTAACAGACGGTGGGACAAGTCCTCATTAGAGCTGATCAGTCTCTGGCGCCCCCTGGTGGTGTACAGGGAAACTACTCTTTAGCCACCTTCAGAGATGAGCCAGAGAAAACTTACCTGGCCTGCCACCTAGCCTGCCCAGTGTGGCCCACCTCACAAAAATGGGTCTGTCGGAGGAGGATCCATAGGGCCCACGGCCCATAAAGTCCAGACCTACACATTCCCGGCAAGCACCTCTGCTTCCCACATTGAGGCCACCTGGATCCAAAGCAGGGTTGAGGAGGCTTTCAACCTGCAGGTCCTGCTCAGGGATGGCCATCGTCTGATGGGCTTTGGTGGGGAACTGGGTGGAGCAGAAACAATGCTTAGGGGACCCTGGGATGGTATGACATGGAGAATGGGGTCAGTGTTCCTCGCACTCTGTTTACCTTCACTGGCTGTACCAGCCCCCCATCCTGGGCAGACAGAGACAGCATTACTAACTCCTTGGGGACAGGCCTACAGGGCAGCCAAGTAGCCTCTTCAGCCCCCACTGTCCTGGGCACTGCCCGTGCCTCAAGCACTTTAAATGAATCATCTCTAAAACTGCTAAAGGGCTGTCAAGGTAGATTTTATAGTGAGGAGGCCTGAAGCCCGGAGGAGCTGTGTGGGGCTGCTCAGCAGCACCAGCAGGTATGTGGTGATGAGAGGCCATGTGCACTAGGCTCTTCCTGTCTACACCCAGGCACCTGCTCATCTGCTGAGCACCTGCTCTACGCCGGGCTCTAGAGTGTTGTTAGCTGGGTGTTGTTAGTGGTGAGGAGATCAAAGAAGACATACAGGTAAATATAATGCCACGCGGTGGTCTGTGGTAGGCAAAGTTAGGGTTAGAGGTCAAAGAATGCCAGGAGTGCTTAGGTTGACCAGGGAAGCTCTCTGACAGGGTGGCATTTCAGCGGAGACCTGAACGAAGTACAGGAACGGGCCTTGCACCTACGGGGGTGCTCTGGACAGAAGAAACAGCAAGCACACGTCCCAGGACAGAAGTGTGTGCACCCTGGCCCAGGAACAGCATGGAGGCCAGCACAGCCAGGGCAGAGGGCGCGAGAGGAGTATGGTAGGAAATGAGGCCAGAGAGGTAGCAGGTCGCTCCCATGGGGCCTTTCAGGCTGAGATAAGGAATCTGGATTTTAATCTGAGCGAGACAGGAAGACACTGGTGGGTTTTAAGCCAATAAATGACATAATCAAGCTTATGTGTTGAAAACATCACTCTGGCTATTGGTGGAGAATAGATTGTGGAGTTGGGGGAAGAAGAGGCAGCAACACCGTGCTCAGGAGGCTTTCTGGGGTCAGCCTTGAGAGAGGTGATGGTGATTTGGACCAGGGTGGGGAGATCAGCTGGCTGTGGGTCGGAGAGAGAGGAGCCAAGAAGAACTCCAAAGGCTTTGGCCTGAATAGCTGGAAAGCCAGAGTTCCCACAACTAAGACGGGAAAGACTTGAGAGGGGTGGGGAGGGCCGGGGAATCAGGAGTTTGTGCTTGACACCCAAGCAGAGCTGGGGAGTAGGTGGTGGATACACAAGTCTGGAGTTCTGGGGAGCTCTGAATTTGAGCTGTAAAATGTGGGCGTTTTTTAGATGGCATTTAAAGCCCTGAATGTGGATGAGGTTACCTGTGCGAGTACAGATGGAGACAGAAGTGGTCCAAGGACGGACCTGCACCTTCTATGCTTAGAGGCAAGGGAGGAGGAGACTGGGGGTGGCAGGCTGGAGGAAAATCTGGAGGCATGGGCCTGGGAGTACCAGACAGAAGGCATTTCAGGGTCTCAGATGTTTTGGAGAGGCTCGTAAAGCGAAGCCCGAGGGCAGCATGCTGGACTTGGCAATGCAGAGGTCACTGGGGACGAGAAGTTTCCACGAGTGCCAGGGTAAGAATGTGCCTGGAGTAGGCTCAGAGCGAATGGCAGTGGAAGTGGAGAGCAGGAGCATGCCAACTCTTTCAGGGACTTTTACTGTAAAGGGAGCAGAGGAATGGAGTGGTGACCAGAGGGACATGAGATCAAAGGAGGGTTTGCGGGTTTTTTTTGTTTTTTGTTTTTTTTAGGATTTATTTATTTATTTGAGAGAGAGAGAGCATGAGCGCCAGTGGGGGAGGGGCAGAGGGTGAGAGTCTTCAAGTAGACTCCTCGCTGAGCTCAGAACCCTGATGTGGGGCTTGATCTCAAGACTCATGAGGATCATGAAGATCAAGATCGGAAGTGAAATCAAGAGTTGGTCCCTTATGGGGCACCTGGGTGGCTCAGTTGGTTGAGCAACTGCCTTCGGCTCAGGTCATGATCCTGGAGTCCCTGGATCGAGTCCCTGGATCAAGTCCCGCATCTGGCTCCCTGCTCGGCAGAGAGTCTGCTTCTCCCTCTGACCCTCCCCCCATCTCATGTGCTTTCTCTCTCTCTCTCAAATAAACAAATAAAATCTTTAAAAAAAATTTTTCTGAAAAAAAAAAAAAGAGTTGGTCCCTTAACTGAGCCACCAAGGCGCCCCTCAAGGGAGGGGTTCTGATGTGTCGTTTTGTCTTTTGTTTTAAATGTACTTTTTTAAAAAGATTTTATTTATTTACTTGAGAGAGAGAGAGAGAGCACAAGTGGGGTGAGTGGCAGAGCAAGAAGCAGATTCCCCACTGAGCAGGGAGCTGGACTCGGGGCTTGATCCCAGGACTCCAAGATCGTGACCTGAGCCAAAGGCAGATGCTTCACCGACTGAGCCACCCAGGCACCCTTTGTCTTTTGTTTTAGATAGAGTGACACTAGAGCATGATCATATAGTATGAAAGTGAGCCAAGAGGGGACAGAGGTGGCAGTCTTATGAGTGAGGCCTTTGTGAAAGTGACAAGGGCCAGGACCCAGGGAGAGGGTGGCCTCAGGCAGGAGCATCCAGCTCGACAGGAAGGGAGGCCAAGGATGTGGGAGTAGATGCAGGTGGGAAGGTATGGTATCGGTGGGAACATTCGAGAATCTGGTGTTTGCTGAGAGCCTCATGCAGCTGGGAGGAGTCTGACGTTTACTAAGTGCCCTCCGTGCCATCTGCTGGGCTGAATGCTGCACATTTCCTTATGTGGTTGACCAGAGTGACTCAGAACACTGTCATTAGGTAAGTATTAGCCACGGCTCACAGATAAGGCAACTGAGGCTGAGACTTGCTCAATCAGGAAACACCAGGGCTGGACTCACACGCAGGGCTGCCTTCCTCACTGCATCACCCCACACCTGTACCCCACTGTACCTGCACTCCAGCTCAGGGTGCTGCTGAACAGATAAGATCTGCCTGTGTGGAAAGTTAAAAAAAAAAAAAAAAAAGCAATGTGATACAGACGCCACGTCGTCGGGGCAACTAGGAGTGGTATCGACACTGAGTCCTCAGAAGGGAGAGAGCATGTGTGTTAAAGAGACCCTCACTGTGGGGACCCTGAGCCCAGGACAGCCCCCTCCTACTGCAGTGGTTCCCTCTGACTTCAGTGCCTCACCCCTTCTACTCACCACACCCCTGCTCCTCAGACCCTTCTGCTGCAGAATGAATGCAGACCCCCCAGTGCAGCAGGAGGTGGGCCCAAGACACCTCCACTCTGAATATTCTTACTACTTGTATCTTTTATCTGCAAAATCTCCAGCCAGTTTTGTATTCTATTCCATGATATGCTCAAGTAGTTGCCGTTACATTAAAAATGGATAAACTTAGGGGCGCCTGGGTGGCTCAGATGGTTAAGCGTCTGCCTTCGGCTCGAGTCATGATCCCAGCTGGGATCGAGCCCCACATCGGGCTCCTGGCTCAGCAAGGAGCCTGCTTCTCCTTCTCCCTCTGCCTCTCTCCCTGCTTATGCTTTCTCTCTCTCTCTCTCTCTATCTCTGTGTCTCAAATGAATAAATAAAATCTTAAAAAAAAAAAACGGATGAACTTACTTACCAAGTAAAATGGACCCTCTGGGAAGACGTACCATGTGTGGCCTCTGGCTGGCTTGATCTACCCCAACGTGCCCACCGCCACCCAGCCAGGCGGAGTAGCACTGCAGGAAGTGGCAAACAAGGGTTCATCGGAAGCAAAATGGGTGGTCAGTGGCCCATGAAGGGTGAGGAAGAGGAGGTGGGCAGAGAAGAGCATTCTAGAATGAGGGACTGGGCTGAGCAAAGGTAACAGGGAGAGGATGTGTGCGCCCAGGGGAGAGGTGTGCAGACGACAGCACTTGCTTTATGAAAATCAGGGCAATAAAAAGCTAGCATTTCAGTGCTTACTACACATGCAGCACTGTTCTAAGTGCCTTCTTTCCCCTAGAAATGATGATACACTTTTTATAAAGAGATTTTAAAGAGGAGATTTAGGCACAGCAAGGTTAAGTACTTGCCCAGGGTCACACAGCTCATTAAGTGTTGGGAATAGAATCTATGCCTGCAGGCATGTCATGTGGGATAAAGCCAGCAAGAGGGGCTGGGATCAAACATAGGGCCTGGAGTCTGGACTTATCCAGGGTGATGACAGTGCCAGAAGGCTGTTGAGCAGGAGAGAGATAGGATAAAAATAATCATTCTGGAGAATCTGTCTGGCCAGGTAGAAAGAAAGACTAGAGGGGAAGGATTTGCTGGCAGGGAGACCACAGGGGGAGCTATTAAATATTCAGGACATGGG